CACACCCACACCAACCAACCACACAGCACACACACAGCACACACAGCACACACACACAGTCAATAGAAGGAGTTCTTACTATAGTAGATTAGGTGTGATAGATATTGATGATTTTCTATCACCTCTGGTTTGATCAATACAGGAGACATGATCCTGGCTTATAATAAGACAATATAATAAGAAGAACTAATAATGATGTTTAAAAAAAACTAATAATAACAATAATAATTATGTTTTCAGCCATTGTAAGACTATTTAAAATCATAATTAGCTGTTATTCATCTATTTATTTTATTCCACGTGGCCTGGGGCAGGTGTCAGCTTGTCTCCAGACACCCTACATCATCACATGCAGAATTTCTAGAAAAACATGCGTGTCCAGGTTGGTGGTGTATTTTTTTTTTCTGGCAGAGAGTGAAAAATCGATGGCATAGCTTTGTGCCAGCCTCGGGCCGTGCGGGTCCCCGTGGACCGGCTCCGTTTATTGTGCTCAAAAAAAGGCAATTACAATGTTAATGTGTCGCAGCAGGAGAGTGGACCCGAGAAGAGAGGACGTCAAAGGTTGATGGAGAGAACAGAGTGACTGTGGGTTAACAGGGAAACGGCGTCTGGGGAGCGTTTTATATCAAACACACATGGAGGGAGGAATAACCCCACAAATACAGTTTAGACTTCTGGTTTTTAATACTACAATTCTGATCATAGATAGAAAGGTATGTATGGGGGACGGATGGATGGATGGATGGATATTGACAGATGAATGTTTGAATGGATGGATAGATGAACGGATGGATAGACGGATGGGCATGAATAGATGGATAGATAGATATTGACAGATGGATAGATAAGTATGGATGGATGGATATAGTTATGGATAGAGGGACAAGCAGAGTAAAAGAATTCCTCGTGTCATTTATCACTGTTTGTGCTGTTCTGAGACAGAAGCCATCATGCAGGACTAATACAAACCCCTCTCTGAGGAAGTCTCTCGGGACTCCATAATAAGCCATTAAACAGGCGCATTAGCAGTAATGAAAAGGCTCTTAGTGGTTTACCACCTGGATTTCTCTGTGTGGGAGTGGGCGGCGGCCATGGTCGCAGATCGGGAGAGAAAACAGTGGAGATACATGTGATGTTTTCATGTGTCACAGTGGGCTTCCTGTTTTGAAAAACACAATGTTCTTTTTTTCAGATTAAAAATGTTTGCACTAGTTATACGTGGAGATGGGGGGGTGAACGCTTTGCACGTGATCTTTAGGAGAAATAGACGTTACAATTGGGTGATAGGGTTTATTCTCATTGCAGTAACTTGTGCGGAGTGATGCAGGAAATTTACACCATCATTATTGCTGCTGTGGAATTGTCTGACGAAAAAAGGTTGAAAGGAAAAACATGTTGAAAATCTGATTGTGCATTTCTTAAAGTTAAACTTCGACTGAATCACTTAATAAAAATCTCTAAAATGTGCCACTACTGACTGGAAACTATAGGAACACCAACTTTACCAAAAGTAGATTCGATTGTTTTCTATAGGCTGCATCCACACGCTCTCCATGGTGCTGAAACCACAGGCTCTGCGATCTCTCTCTGTTCGGCTTCAACACGAACAACTCAAATGTTCAGGCCCATCACAGACAGCCTGCTACCTGTGATTGTGATGCAAATGTTAATGGACTCTGAGGTCCTCTGATTAGCCTGATGCGGGCTAATTTCCCTCCTCTGCGGTCCCCAGAGAGCCCGGAGTGCCTTTTCATTGTCCCACATTAATCGATGAGTGCTGGGTGGTATTTTCTGGCTCGCTGGTCTGGCACATAGACACAGCAGACAGAAAATCACGGGTTAAATGACAGGAGTCACGCTTTTGTTTTTGTACACTCAGGACACAGAGATCTCTTTTGATGCAAAATAAAATAAAGCCTCCCAGCAGATGTGTGTGGTTTGGTTATGGTTGGACCTGCAGTGCTTTCCCCTAAAATAGCCTATCCTCTCTTATCTTGGCTCAATCTGGGTCGTGCGTCAAACGATTCACTCACACACAGAGAAACCATTTAATGGATGGTGTAATGATGGCCTGCTATGAAAGCTATTGTAGACCTACATAACTGCGGTCATGGAAACACAAAGCCCAGTTTTACAATATAGTTTCATTTTACTCTGCAGCATCTTGTTGAAAACATCAAAAGCTCATATCTGAAAATCTAAAGGTTATGATATTCATTGTTGCCGTATCTGTTCTCTGGATGCTCTTTTTTATGGAATCAAAGAGCACCCCCCCCCTCCTCCTACATAATCGCAAAAATGTGTTATGTTTTTTTTGATACGAGGAAAGGATCGAGGGGTGGGGGTGGCGCAGGGTGGAGGAGGTTACATGGAGGCGGAGAACCTTGTGCCAGCTCACCCATGTGTGTAATGTGAAAAGGGAGAGCCAGGGGTGAAATACTGTGGAGGGAGAGAGGGNGGGGGGGTCACAGAGCCATTTTGGATTTGGCTCTTCCCATGTCGTCTCTGCGCTTTTGTTGGCTCACGGTGGAACCACGCGGTGCCGTAAAACCCAGACACAGATAAGCAGCTTTGATTGGTCCTATCTCTATCGACAGAGACGAGGAGCAGCCTCCTGGGACGCGGCACCCTGACCCGAGCACCACCCACCCACTGCACCCCACCCAATGACTCATGATGGGTGATAAACTGCGAAAATCACTTTCACCTCCATCTCTCTCTCTGCGGATTATGAATAAGCACGCACCCCCCACACATCACCATTGACGTCGTGCACACGAGGCTTGTGATGCAAAGTGCAAAATGAATTATCAATTAAGAAGCAGTGCGTGGATTCCATCGGTTTAAGACATTTCATAATATAACGGTGAAACGGTGAAGAGGCCTTTTACGAGGAGTTATGGGATGTAGACGTCCTTGTGCGCGTGCATGGGTAGGCTTCATCATATGGTCGCAGTAGGCCTAATTCTTACAGTAAAGTCAGTCTGGAAGCCAACACAACAATGAGAAAGAAAATCATTTGTATTTATTATTATTATTATTATTACTTGTATAGGTCGTGAAAAGGTGTGCAGCCTGTGTAACCTGCTGGCTGCTAGTGTCACGGCTGCTCTTTTCATCCTGGAGCTCACTCCATCAGACAGATGAGAGGAGGAGGAGGGAGGAAGGCTGCAGCCCGTTGATAACAGCCTCTGTCATTAACTCTTTCACTCAGGGTAGAGGCAGAGCAGCCATTTTCGTTCCCACAACTAAGCATTATAAAAGGAAGACGCGTCACAGGGATAGATTTAATTGCCTTGTGTTTTATTGTTCAGACGTCGTGGGTTTAAATCGGGCTGGAGATCTAACAGAGGCCCTGAAGCTGTTAGGTTTTATCGTACCTGCTGCTCGGCCTGTTCGCTCCTTCCGAACCTGAAACCACTGCATCATAGTGCAGCTTCTCTATTTGAAAAATATTGAGGGAATAATTAGTTCTCATCTTTTCCCTGTCTGCGCAAAAACTCTGGTGCATCTTAATTGGTACAAAACGAGTTAATTAATTGGCTTTTTAAAACCAGGGTTTTTTAAATAATATATAAAAAATATAAATCAGATGATGAAGGGGCATTTGTGGTGTTGTGGTCATTTTATCTTTCTTTAAATCACTGGCACAGATTCTCAAGAGGAGGCCTCATACTGATCTGAGCTATACACTGAGTATAAAGCCATCAAAGACTTTTGTTCGTGCTTTGTCGTTCGATAATCATCCGGTTTACTCTTATTATTATGCTGCATTACTGCTTCTATCACGCAGCCTGTTCTATTGAAGAAACCAGGATGACAGCTTTTAATTGGGATTTATTTATGTATCTCGGTTGCAAAGTAAATAGTCTGTGTGTACAGCAGCAGCAGACCGTGTTACAGTAGACTAAGTGAGTGTAGAGAGCGAGGCCGTGGCTTTGCATCACGGTGATGAACTCTGATCCAACAGCCTGAGGAAACAGGGAAACATGGTGGACACAAAGTGCTACTGACAATACAGTGTCAACAAACTGTTTACACCACTTTAGGCTTCGGTTACTGAAAATCTCTGCATGAAAAAAAATATTCCAATGCAAATAAAGCCTAGTACGGTTTTCTTTAAATGAGTCAACAAAAACAAAATGTAAAAATGAGGAGTTAAACTTGATTAGCGCATTATTTTTGCTTCATCCAGTCTGAGTACTTTATTTTTCCATAGAATTAATTTAAGAATTCTCATTCCAGATCAAATCACAATGTTATTTCACACGAGTTTACACATATTCTTATTATTCTATTATTATTTATAATAATAAACCTCATAGTCTGTAGACTACATATTTCTCAACGGAAACACCGCCATGGCTCATCATCTTCACAAACACAGCCACTGAATGGATGAATGAAGGAAGGAAGGAAAGAGGGAAGGAAGGAATGTGCACCCTGAATGAAGTCTTCAGCCTGAAACACAGCCAGCGGAATAGAAGTTGATCAAAATTTCAAATTTTAAAAAAAAAATCACAAAAGGCCACAATTCGCAAAAATAAATTAGAATAAACTCGGTCTCCAGCTCTGTTTCTTACCAGAATTTAGCAAAGACAAAAAATTTCGATTTTTTTCCCCCTCCATCACCAACAACCTCAACACGTTTTTAATCCCAGAAACCACATGGGTTCATATTTTGATGCTTCGCGTCCTCTTCTCCTTAAAAAGAAATGGAAATAGCGCAAAATTTTATTTAAAAAAAAAAACCCAACCCAAATTAGATTGTAATAAAATCTGGTCCAGAGAGTTTGGATTAACGGCGAATTCCAGCCTCCTTTTATACGCGTAAAGTTATGCGTGATTTCAGGCCCCCGGAATGTCATTGGATGTCCGGATGAGGTATTATAGATTATGGGTTTGGAGGGGTGGTGGTGGGGGTACACAAGCACCTCCCCTAGAAATGCAGCAAATCTCTCCCGTTTTCTCCTGGTGGGGCACTGGGAGGGCTGGAGACGTGCGTTGCATTGGCAGGCTGGTGAGGACACGTGTCTCCTCCTCCTATCCCCCCCTTGGGCTCCACGGTACCGCATTGGCATCAGTAAAGGCACCTGAAAACCTACAACCGACTCCAGGAAAGGCTGCGTGCCACCTTAAACCCCAAAAGAAAACGATATTACAGGTCAGAAGGAGACCGGTGGCTTGCCCTTGCTCGTGCGTAAAGCTTTTGCGCACACCGCTGAACTGCCTCAGAGACTGAAAAAGGTGCGCTACGCGTCGAGTATCAGAGCGCGGTGCCAGGATGCAGAGACGGAGCGGCGTCGTCTGAAGGTGACATGAACCTGGGGATAATCAGGAGCAGCAGCAGGCGCGCACTGAACCAGAAGTGGAGATAGCAACTGAAAACCACCGGTGTCTTGACGCTCAACTCTTTTTTCTCGTGGCTTTATCTAATGTAGAGAATCAAGAGCAGCAACTTGAAGTAGCCTCAATTTTTTACCGACTGAAGAAGAAAAAAAAATACACCAATTAAGCAGCAGATAGTTACGAGTCGGAAGAAGAGCACAAAAATGGCGACATTAATCAGAGGCAAGCTTTCCAATAAACTGTCAAACGCAGCCACGACTGTGTCCAACAAATCCCAGGCGAAGGTGAGCGGCATGTTCGCCAGGATGGGCTTCCAGGCCGCCACCAACGAGGAGGCGCTGGGCTTCGCCGCCTGCGACGACCTGGACTACGACCACCGGCAAGGCATGCAGATGGACATTTTGTCGTCCGATGAGATGGGGGGAGAGCCGAGTGGAGAAGGGGGCGCGATGGAGGGGGACAGCCACTACCAGAGGGAAGGCACCGGTCCATCGCGCTCAGGCTCAAAGGACGGGGGTCCGACGAACGAGTTGACCGAAGTCAGACCAAAAATCACCGCTTGGGAGGCGGGCTGGAACGTCACGAATGCAATCCAGGTAAAGACGCACTTCGTGGAGAATAACCGGGCGGCTTCGATTCTAATTGGCTGACTCGCCCCCGGAGCAGCAGTGAAATTCCAGATATATACAGCGCACCTGCGACAGCATAAACATACGAAACAAAAACCTCCAGACTCTGTCCCCTTAGAGCAACTTCATCAAGTTACTGGGTCTGATAATGGTGAAATAATTATGTCTGGTAAAATACGCAGACTTTTTGTTCGGTAGATTCAGTTTTTGTTGTACACTAAACTTATTATTGGTATCAAACTTATATTTTGATGCATTTTGATGAGATTTTAAAACAGCTAAGAAATAACGACGCCCCCCCCTCCATCCTTCAACACACACACACACACACACATTCTTTGTCTGTATAGTGATGTCCAATGTCACCTCACCCGATTCAATACATTGATAAGGAAAAAGATGCCATCATGCAAAAAAAAAAAAAATTCAAAGCATTGTCTTTATATTTCTTTAATTCGGGTGCCTTTAGCATTAAACCCAAAATAAAGAGCAGAAACATCAAATATGTGGAGATAGATGTTTATCTCTCATATCACAGAATGCAACTAGTTTCATATATTCCTTTATTTTCTTTCCAATAATTTGCAGATAGATACAAGAAAAAGATACATTTCTGTATCCAAGCTACAATTACGCACGAAGGTTTGTGTGTGCGCACAGCTTCTCTGCGGTCAACACTTAAAGTGCGAAGATCTACTCCAGAGTCCGGGTCTGCGGGCAATGCGACAAAAAAATCCAGAGGCGCAATCCTGTTCATGCTTTATCACGGCGGCGGTCACGGCAGTCACCGTGACGTCAGAGTGTGTCTCCTCCAGCTCGTGCTGACGTCAGAGGCGGGTGGATGCGCTCAAAGCAAAGTGGAAAACCCACAATATGAAAACGGGAGTGACATCCATTCAAGAATCAGACAGACCAGAGCCAAAGCCCATCTTCAAATATGATCCTGTTCAGACCGATTAAAGAATAATGAATACGACTATATGTTCACAACATTATTGATTATTGATTACACCCAAATAATTTAACCCATTCACAATGTGTCTTCCTTCCAGGGGATGTTTGTTCTGGGGTTGCCCTACGCCATCCTGCACGGAGGATACCTTGGACTGTTTCTCATTATTTTCGCCGCCGTAGTGTGCTGTTACACGGGGAAAATCCTCATTGCCTGCCTGTACGAGGAGGACGAAGACGGGCAGCTCGTCCGTGTGAGGGACTCCTATGTGGACATTGCCAACGCCTGCTGCGCGCCCAGATTCCCGTCTTTAGGAGGCCATGTCGTGAATGTAGCCCAGATCATAGAGCTGGTGATGACTTGCATCCTGTACGTGGTGGTCAGCGGCAATCTCATGTACAACAGCTTCCCCAACATGCCAATATCCCAGAAGTCGTGGGCCATCATAGCCACCGCCGCCCTGCTCCCCTGCGCCTTCCTCAAGAACCTGAAAGCCGTCTCCAAGTTCAGCTTGCTGTGCACGATGGCCCACTTCGTCATCAACGTCCTGGTGATAGCCTACTGTCTCTCCAGAGCCAGGGACTGGGCCTGGGACAAGGTCAAGTTCTACATCGATGTCAAGAAGTTCCCCATCTCCATTGGGATTATCGTGTTCAGCTACACGTCGCAGATCTTCCTGCCGTCTCTGGAGGGGAACATGAATAAACCCAGCGAGTTCCACTGCATGATGAACTGGACTCACATCGCTGCCTGCATCCTCAAGGGCCTGTTCGCCCTCGTGGCCTACCTGACCTGGGCCGACGAAACCAAGGAGGTCATCACAGACAACCTGCCCCCAACCATCCGTGCTGTCGTCAACCTCTTCCTCGTGGCCAAAGCTTTGCTGTCGTATCCGTTGCCGTTTTTCGCAGCCGTCGAGGTGCTGGAGAAATCGTTTTTCCAGGATGGGGGACGCGCGTTCTTCCCAGATTGCTACGGGGGCGATGGACGCTTAAAATCCTGGGGACTCTCTCTCCGCTGTATCCTTGTTGTGTTCACCTTGCTCATGGCGATCTATGTGCCACACTTCGCCCTCCTCATGGGCCTCACCGGCAGCCTGACAGGCGCGGGCCTTTGCTTTCTGCTTCCCAGCCTCTTCCACCTCAAGCTTTTATGGAGAAAGCTGCTGTGGCACCAGGTTTTCTTTGACGTCTCCATCTTTGTAATAGGAGGTATATGCAGCATATCTGGTTTCATCCACTCGATGGAGGGGCTCATAGAGGCTTTCAGAGACAACGTAGAGGAGTAGACGCATCGCTGGGACTAAATGTTAACCGCAAAACCCCATTTAGTGAAAAAATAAGAAATAACGATGATAATAAAACACGACTTCCCCGCAAACGCAGCCCCTCTGCTTAATCCATGCGTAAAAGCGCACACTCATTAAGTCTTGCATCACATCAGAAAAAAATGCGCACACACTCACACGTACACAAACGTGTACACACACGCACGCACAGACACAAACACACAAAACCGGCGGCAGTAAGGACATCCAATACATCCACAACACACTATATGGACAATACATGTTGTATAAATATGCGAACGAGAATATAACTATTTTCCAGTGGAGTGAACGTTTACAATATTGACCTTAAACAAAATGGCAAAAAGGGCAGTTCGTCTCTTCGTCGCTCTTGTGGTGCTTCCCCACACGAGACTTCACCTCATGTAATGCTTGTGATAGACGGACGTTCAATGACGGTTTAATGTGATTTAAGATAAGTTCATTTCAATAAAACAAAAGAGAAAAACGCCACTTTCTTCAAGGTAATTAAAGTAATATGACCATCACTGGCACGAGTGCGGTTCAAGTCCACAAAAGAAAGGTAGGAAAATAACAAAAATGGCAATAACCAGCAGCAGAAAACACATGAATGCATATAGAGAATTTTTAAATAAAAAGAATAGTGAAGTTTTGTTCTTAAATGAGGAAATTGGACTCCCCCCCCAGCAGTTTGACTAAAGACATAAACACGGTTAATGCAGAATAGCAGATAGTACAGCAGCTATACAAACTATGCATTGAATGTATGATATTTCAGACACACAAAATGAAACTGCAGTGGACATCTTAAAATAATCCTCTAAATTTCGATTCTTCTGTGTGAAAGTGTTAATGCTTTGGTGTTTTCCCTCCAGAATATTTAATGTATTAATTGGCCTTTGAATCGGAAATAATTTCTTTTTAGCTACTTCACCTTCAAACACCCAAGCCCCCACACCCTGGCCCACACTTCAGCGAGATGGGGACCTCAAATTATTGAAATCCTGCACACTCAATTCCAAAAATAAATTCATTGTCTTTTTAAAAAATACACATGGCCTGTTTCTGAAATTAATTTGAAAGACTTCTGTCTGGACAATTCGGTGTATGAAAATCTAACAAAAAAAAAAGATATCATTAAAGTGGAAAATGTGCTTACAGACATTTTTCATTCTGTGCAATCCAATGGGTCCTGTGGAAATGTTATAAAACCGTATGTGTAGTGTGTTATTGTGGTTTCAAAAAGATGGAATGTATATCTCAAAGTCGTTATCATATATCGTGATATTAATATTAAAGAATAAAGAAATAAGTGAAATTATATTGTAAAAATGTGTGTGGTCTTATGTAAAACGAAAAACGGTCAGAACATGTATTTTTTTTTCTCTATAATAAAAGATCAAAAAAAGTTGGAGAAAATAGTCGCATTCATATTTTTTGGTAAATAAACGACAGAGGCCCCTGCAGGGGGTCTTAGACAAACATATGTAGCCCACGTGTCTCGCTTTCTGAGAGTGGGGGTCGACACGGATATATATTTTATTCCTACTAAATTTTCGTTATTCTGCGCATTCTCCCGTTTTGTGTGCAGAGAAATTCAAAGCATGCGTTTCAGACATTCATGCAGACTCGAAAATGAAAAGATCACCTCGCCAGATGTTGTGCTGCAGGCCTGCATCCGGCCTTATGGTCGACCTGTTCATCCACCGTGTTGATTTTCTGCTCACACATCTGGAGACAAAGTTTATTCCCCGTCAGGCCTCATCTCCAGCTGCTGATGCATAGAGTAACCTGGTGCATAGGATGATCAAGCTTAAAAGCGTAATGGAGTCCAAGGAACGGTTCAAATGCAGGGAAACTGCAGGAAACAAAGAATATGATGAGGTATTTTTAATGTGATCGAGGGAATAAGCGTCGAGCTGCACAAGCACAAAATTTTGCTTTTCTATTTTGCTAAATAATCTACATCTGACAGCCTGCAGCCATTTTACTGAGGAAGCGCATCACTCTTCAGTCACTCTCATCAAGCAACACAACACAATATAAAGGCTATTGGCATCAACAAATACATTTGGATCGAGTATTCTAGACTAAAAACAGGACTTTTGTTATAAATAAACCATTCATAAAATGGTGCTCCTCCATTACTCACCTTCAAGACAGTTTGACGAATTATTACGTCTGGGGTGCCACCTATTGGACAGGAGAGGAATTGCTTCAAACAGAGAGCATCAAAACTGACCAAAGCTGGACAATGTGCAATGCAGGTCACTGTAGAGTATTTTCATTCAAATCTGCACAAACAACTCAAAATAAAAGTATTATTACCTCGTGGGGACATCTGCTGGGCTGTGAGGCACGAGTTCAGTGTCTGTGTGCTTGTTTCACAGAATTCACATTAACATACAAGTCTCGTGAGCGGGCCTGTTCACATTACAGATGTAGTTTTACTTTTTGCCTCTGGTGAGACGATGTTTCTTTGATTTAGCACCTTACTCGCTCACCAATGACACAGTTAGACTGAATTCTAAGAATTATTTGGAAAACCTCTTCCCATTTGTACAGGTTCATCGATTTTGACAGAGGTTTTAGTTTGCACTTAAAATTATGCAGATAAAAGCCCCCTCATTATTAGTATAGCATTGTATGGTGCATATCATATATATAATGCTTTATTCCCATATTATTTAAGAATTAAAGTCAAGGCAACTTTGGCACAGCCTACAAAACACAAAATACTAAATTACATTTCCACATTTTATTGAAGCAGGAATTCTGTCAACATTTACCGGTGACATTAAGACTGTCAAACAAACATAAATAAAATGCTAATTCAATTACATTGACATTTTATTGACACAGGAAGTCAATGTGCTTTCACAGATTATTTACAGTGACAGTGGCATAATTTCTACCTATAATCTGCAACATACTTGTTCTCAAACTGTGGTATCCTGGCGCCCTCTGCTGGCTGCTTTTCACCGAGGCTTGATAAAAGCAGCTCCATTTGAACCTGTCTGTGAAATCACTGCATCATCCTGACTTCAGCTTCACAACATTAAACTCTGTTGAAAACAAACAAAACAAGGAAGCAAACTAGAGACCATCTTGGAATGAAATGACACCAGTCACTGCAACACGTCAATGTTCAGACCCATCAGCGCTCAGTATCTTTACACTGTGATGTAAGACCCCAGTGTTCCTGAGTCAGAGCAAAGCCATCGTCTGGATTTTATCTGCACCTTGTACGGTTCTGACAAACTCAGACCTGCCCGAACTTGCCTCTTTGGTAGTTCTCGCTATAACAAGCACTTTTGGGCGGGGGGGGGGCGACATCACATAAAATTGGATTCAGCAGGAAATCTGTCAATACTAGAGACTTTAATCAAACCTCCATCTCAGAGCATAAAATCAGCTGTGTCCCATTTCTAGACATGTGGAGCCTGTTTGATTTTTAGTCTGACATTCAGTGCAGGACACCTGACAGAACCACACACAGTGTAAAAACAAAGGAACCAGCCTGTTGCTGCTGATAAACACATAACTTTCAATAACAGATATAAAGCAGTGTGTGTATATATATATATATATACATATACACACACACAGCTGAATTACAAAAAAATATTATTACTATTAATCACCAGTTGCAACAGTGAGGCTGGTAATGTTTTCACCTTGTGAGTGTTGATGGGCATTGAGGCTGGTATGATTCTATTGCAAGATGATCAGTAGTATATTTTTTATTTCAAGTAATAGCTTTTTAGAAACGATCAATAAAATTTCATAATTGTACAAAAACAGTGAAATATTTACAGGCAACAGATGCCATTAGTAAGACAAGGACACTCACAAGGAGAAGGTAAAACTAGATGGCTCAAAAGGTCTGCTGACAAAAAAAGCCACGTAGTGATGTGAAAGTCATGTAGTGGGAGTACAAGCAGATCCTTCCAATCAGCTGCACAGTGCACCAGCCAGTCACTGACAACACAAAAGAGGCTCATTGACTGGGTTCTTCGTTGTTCAGAGTCGTGGGCTTCTTGGTCGAGCATTCGACGACCCAGGGGTGGGTCAGGACGCCCTGGATGGGCAGTCTGTGCATGGGGTTGTGCTTCAACAGCTGGGCAACCAGGTGTTTGGCTCCATCACTGATATTGAAATGTGCAGGGTATGTGTACTCCACCTGTAAGATGAAGACAGGAAAGTGGGCTTGAGCCGTCGGCCTACATGCTTACTTCACCAGTATGTGATGGCTAGTTAACTGAACTGCTGGATAGCATTGTTCCTGCAGTGCTGCTGTTGTGAGTCCTGTCTGTCTACACTGACGTTGTGTAAAATAATACAGAGGACATGTTCGTCATGACATAACCTTTGAACAGCGTTTCACAAACAAATTATTAAACCAATTAGAAAGGTTGTACAATGTTTCTGTTCAAGTACTATGTTTCAGAAAGGTTTCACATCATTACTACCGTGAAAAGATTTTGTAAAGACCAGCAAGCATTAAATGAACATTGTCTTTAAGTGAGACACAGCTACAGCTCATCTTAATGTAGTTTCACTTCAACTGTATTTCTCACATTATATAGCAAATACTTGTTTGGCACTGTATTTAAAAGATGCTAAAACAATGTGTGTCAGCTGTTGGTGTGTCTGTTCATCTTAGCTTACTCTTGATATCTTGCGGTAAGTCTCTTCGTGACTTTTCGTTTCAAAGGGGGGTTTTCCAACCAGGAACTCGTAACAGAGGACACCCAGGCTCCACAAGTCCACCTTTTCATCGTGAGTTTTTCCCTCAATCATCTCTGGAGGCAAGTAGTCCAGTGTTCCACAGAGGGTGGACCTCCTGAACAAGGAAAGAGCGAATGATAAAATAAGGCAGTTTGTCATTAGTTTGTGAGATCTGATGTCGGCAAAATGTTAATCACAGAAACGTCAAGCCTGAGGCACCAACAGTGAAGTTAACCAACAAGTTCATTACAAATCTCAAATTGAATATTTCATAAAAGAAAAGGATGAGGATACCTGGAGGAGGGTGTGTGAACAGACCAGCCAAAATCTGCAATCTTTAGCTCCCCATTTGCTCCCAGTAACAGGTTCTCTGGTTTGATGTCCCTGTGGATCACCTTCTTGGTGTGGCAATAGTTGAGGGCATCTGCCAGCTCCATGATGTACTAGAATGACACATAAGGAAAAAACATGGTGATCACAATGTGCATCACAGTTTCTCTGACAGAATTGTATTAGTAACTCTACATAAACTCAAGAAAAGGACACTAAACACCAACATGTCTATGGAGTTTATATACACCATCCAAAAACGTTCATACGCTCAGTAAATGTAATATATACACACAATTCAGTTGATGATGTCAAATACTCAATTGACAACAAAGGTCAAAAGTGTTAAATTGGCAGACTCACCGTGGCACTTCTGTCCTCGGGAAAGTTTCCACAGCGCTGCAGCTCACCGTATAGTTCTCCTCTGGGTGCAAACTCAAGGATGAGATACACTCGCGAAGTGTCATGGAAGTAGCCATAGAGACGCAAGATATTGGGGTGCCTGCAGGACGCCGATGCAGAGGATTGTTTTGAGAAATAGTTTTGAAATACCCAACCAAGATAACAAAAGAGCAAACCAGTGGCTAATGCCTCAGAAGCTGATTCATAGATGATAACCCATCGAAAAGTTCACTGTGAGGATTTCAATATGAAATTTGTTCAGAGACTTTATCCCAGACTTTTCTGCAATTGGCCTGTCGACAGCTCCAAATGGAGCAGAACTAGTGGTCAATGAGCATTTATTTTAGCCAGTGACATGTAAAGCATCAGTTTACTGTTAGACCACTGCGCTATGAGGTAAACATTGTTCACCCTGGTACTCAAGTGTGGTTAACAGGAATGACTGTTTTTAATCAGTATTGGAAGACAATTTCTTTACGGACACATTTTGCTCCCTGCATCATTGCATGTGTTGCACTTTCATCTTTATATTTATGGCATCACGCAAACACACTTGGCTGGCTGTGTACCTGACCCCTATGGTCACGATTTCATTGCGGGCCCCATTTTGGAAGCCTAACTTTTGTGGAACACTTGAAGGCATCATGGTATATTGTACATGTTACCTCCATATGCTCCCACTTAATGACTAAGTCTGCAGATCAATGTTACTAGGCTCCATTTTGGCATTAAGGGACACCACAGTAACCTAATTATAACATAGTATCAGCAATCAAATTCAAAGAGATTTGAAATTGAATAATGTTGATGACTTCAAACAACCAATCACACAATCAGCTTACCTGAGGTGAGACTGGATCTCCACTTCTCTCCTCAGTTGGTGTTCCACCCCAGCCTTCTCCAGCTGCTTCTTAAAGAGCACCTTCAGGGCCAAGATGAACTTACTCTGTCGCTCTCTTGCCAGGTAGACGTTGCCAAATTTACCCTTTCCTAAGGGACGACCAATGTCGAAATTTTCCAAGCTCCATCGCTTTCTGTGTGAGCAGAAATGGCAGAGTTCCACATAACAGCACCAAAACTTGTAATTTTTCTAAAAGATGGTGTAAAAAAACAAAACAACAACAAAAAAAACACATTAACTCACACATACTTTGATGCTGAGACATCTCCAGATTCTTTCAGGGCAGGTTTGTCTAACAAAAAGAAGAAAAAGATATTTTAGGAGCCAAAAGAGAAACACACATAATTATGTTCAATTTGACATTATGCTTACTCTGTGGCTTCTCCAGCTTTGCCGATTCTACTGGTGGTTTGACCAGCTCCTGCTTCACCTTGACCACATTTGTCTTTGGCTGGCTTTGCTGTGAGCCAGATTTAGGCTGAGATGCAGGATTTACATTCCTACTATTGGGGTTCACATTCTGATCAGAGGGCTTTGTGGACTTGACAGCAACAGAGATGTGAGACACAGGTTTCTGATGACTGACAGGCCGCTGAATACGCTGAGGTCCATTTGACACACCCAGGATCCGCTGCTGTGGAGTCGGTGTAACTACAGCCATCTGAGTCATCTGCGACTGTTGTGACACAGGAATCCGCTTTGGTCCTTCGCTGCTCAACTGCAATCAAAGGGAAAGTACTTACTTACACAAATGAAAACACTGGCTTTATAAAGGTTTTCTGGTCTCAAAGGCCCTCTTATATATTTATATTACACACAAGTAAAGGTCAGAAAAGTGACCCCAAATCAGTGACAGTAAAAACTCAACACTTGAGTTTGAGGATCAGGTGAACATTTTGCATTACTTTGGCTTCAGGCCTTTGAAGCTTCATGTCTTTTGCCATCTTGAGTCTTGCAGAGGCGTCCATATTCTGGGGGAAGGAAGAGCAGAGTTGAATTTTAATTTAAAAGTAGATGCAAAGTAACGTTAAAAAAAGTCTGAGACAGAATGATTTTCAGTTTGTTTAAACATTTTAGCACCTCAGGTTGCCAGCTACATTATGCTGACAAATCTTAAATTGAGTAAAAAGAATTCACTTGTTACAGCATCACACAAGTCAGAATGATGTGGACAAAAGAAATGAAAGAGGAAATAGAATATGTGCATAATATACAGCTTTCACAACAGAAANATAGATAGATAGATAGATGGATAAATAGAAAGAAAGATGGATGGATAGATAGATAGATAGATGGATAAATAGAAAGAAAGATGGATAGATAGATATATAGATAGAAAGATGGTTAGATAGATAGATATATAGAAAGATGGATAGATAGATAGATAGAAAGATAGTTAGAGAGATAGATATATAGAAAGATGGATAGATAGATAGATAGAAAGATGGATAGATAGAATGAAAGATTGATAGATAGATAGATAGATAGATGGATAAATAGATAGAAAGATGGATGGATGAATAGATAGATATATGGATAGATAGATAGATAGATAGAACGATGATGGATAGATAGAAAGAAAGATGGATAAATAGAAAGAAAGATGGATAGATGGATAAATAGACAGATATGATACATATGGAATAGGTTAAGTGGGTAATAGTGCTGCTAAGTAGTCACATAAGAGTATTAACGCATAATTGATGCCTCTTTTTGATTTAAAATGTACTTTACTAAAGAAACGAGACGAAAACACTTAAAGCTACGATCATGACAATAAGCGTTAGCCATTGTTACATGGCTACCATGTCTAACGCTGGCTCCCAGCTAACATAAGCTTAAAAACCAAACTAGAACAAAACATTATAGTGAATTAGCTAACAGGACTTACCACAAAGTGTTATTGCACAGTGACCGAGGGAAACCAGCGTCCGGGGATGTGACCAGATCTTAAACGAGCTGCAGCAGCCCTCCCGCAGGAAACGTTACTCCAGCTAGCTAGCAGCTACGTCGGCCTGTTGAAAGAAAGCGGCTATAAAAAATAAAGAGCTAACCTCCACAGTAACGTTGACTACCCCGCTAACACAGCGCTAAGACTTACAGCTACAAAGATGGACAAAGGTTTTAAAGTCGGTTTATATAAATGTTAAAACGCGTGTGGGCGCAACCGACAGAGAGGAGCAGCTAACACTTCCCCGAACTCGACCCTGACTGATTTCAAACGTCCCTGTTTAAAGCCTTTAAATATACCGCGAGCACTGATTGGCTGAAGGAATGCGCTGAACGCTCTCCTATTGGCCGTATCGACGGAAGAATTGTGACGTCACAGGAAATCTTCCAAACCACTAGATGGCGGCAGTTTAACGGCTAGATGAGTAGATGGATGGATGGCTAGATAGATAGATAGAAAGATGGATAAATAGAAAGAAAGATGGATGGATAGATAGATAGATAGATGGATAAATAGAAAGAAAGATGGATAGATAGATAGATAGATAGATGGA